TCCGAGCTGTAGCAAGGTCCCCCGCGGGCTTGTTACAGTTTCTGGCGACTCTGCTGGGGATTTAGAGAACTTGACTCGAACTCATGATATCTGGTTTTGACTACACTTGTGTATTTCTTTGCATTTCATTTGCATTGGTGCGCCTAGGACACCGTGTTTGCCATCTGCTATTCCTGAACGGTTTGCCGGAGGCTTGTCTTGTAAAGTGGTACTCGATTTGCAATTAGCTATTCATTAGTTTCAAGTTGACAACATCAAAAACTGACAAAGCTGAAATATCAAGACAGAAATATACAAAACTTAAAATTAAAATTAAAAAAAAAAAAGAAGAGGAGAAATCAGGCGAGAACTAACAACGCCACACTTAATTGACACACTACAGAAAAACTATCTTACCGAATCTGAAGTTGACTCTTGCTTTAGGACTATCAGTGTAGTGATATGGAACACCCTGTTTTTCTACAAAATGTGATCAAGTACATAAGTAACCACGAGTATAAAATATCTAAACATAGTTATCATTTTCTTTTTGTATTCACAAATCTTGTACCAATTACCAATGAACCAGCAAGAACACCACATGTTTCTAAATTTTTTGCAGTATTTTCTCGTGCCAATCTCAAAAAATCATCCATCATTTTTACTGGCTGCAATGAAAGTTAAATGAAACTAGCATCTTGTTCAGCAATAATAAAAAATCAACATAAAATGTTATGTAGGCATAAAATTGTAATCAAAACAGAAATTGCCAAAAACTGTGCGAATTGTGTTGTCAGAGTTATGATCAAAATTCAGTACACAAAACCTTGGGTTACATAAGATTTGTGAATTATGTGAATTGTAGTGGGGAGTAAAAGCAAGAGTACCCTTGGGTTACATAAGATTAACGTTTATTGATATTCATGGTGCATGAAAGAGAGAATTCTCTTGAAATCAAAGAGTTTGAAGGAGAAGACACCCACTCTGATTTTGCTATGGAAACCTTGTGAGACTAAGTCTTTCTTCAATACCTGCAAGTGCACAAACATTAAGACCTCGAAATTGTGTAGGCAAGTGATCATGATGCCATACAGTATATACATAACCTGAAAATGGTTTTCCCAAAACTAAAGTTATAAACCAACTTGCACATTGCCAAAACTCATTTCCTCTAGTTGCAATTTCACAGAAATGAGCCAATGGACCAATTTTCCAACACACACAAATCGTTCCATCAGAATGTGTAACTAGTAACTCACATTGACTTGCCAAAAAGTAGGAGTGAAAGAAATCTGAGAACTGCTGGATTACCTACTCAAGAATATGTTCAAGCAATTGTGAGTCACTCTTCAAGGATCCTGTGGAGTTCTTGAGTCCAAGGAAGACGATTGGGGATTTCACGTCACTCACAATCTTGAGGCCGTGTATATTTGACAATCCTGCAATTGCCAATATAAGAGACAAATGGTTAAGACCGATCAGATAAAAACAATTTAGTTCTGTTGTTCTATTTTGACTGAAAGGTGAAAGCCACACATACCCCTGAATTGGTAACCAACACCTTCAGCAACACTTGAAAGAGCTAGCAAAGATGCAGGATAAAGAAGTGCTAGTACCACAAACACCTACTGTTTGGTAACATTGACTATTTGTTGTTTTTTATTTACACACAACATTAAGCATGTTTGTTATATATATATATATTTTTATAAGAATGAAGGTAAAAAAACACATGTACAAGGGAGGGGTGGCAGGAGGGGGTCAGAGGTGGAGGGGGACTCGCCGGAGATGGTGACCAATGGGGCCAGAGGTGGAAGGGACAAGCCGGAGGTGGTGACTGGCAGCCAAAAGTAGTGGCCGGTGACTTGGGTGGTGGCCGGATGGGTCGCTAGCAGTATTGATAGGCTGTGGGTGGTGGCAAGAGGAGGTGGGGAAGGGAGAAAGGAATGAAACCTTGTTTTAAAACAAATAAAAATAACTTTTTTGTTTATAGAATTTAGTAACTTCTTGTAAACTAATTGAACTTTTTTTTTTTTTTAAACCAAAACAAATGACAAACAAGTTTTTATTTCCAATTTTCAATTTTTTTGCAAATATAAGCAGAAAATTGTAAACATAAAGGTTATCAACCAGATTAACATTTTTCTTATGCTTTCTCTAGCTGCAACTAGACTAAGAGGTCCATGCATCCAACAATAGATCAATATATCAGTGACACTGACTCATCTGATGCCAATGGAGCTACAAGATTTTCCCGAGTCACTTCGAGATAGTAACATAGGCACTTTATAAGTGATCTCAAGTTGAGGATAGCTGACACATCAACCATATCCCCAATGAGTACCTAGCACTTCGATATAGATTAAAAGAGACTGAAAATAAAACAAACCTTAGCATAGTACAACAATATTTTTGTTCAGTTTCGTAATAACATCAGGATTTTCCTCCAGAACATCAATAGCAGTAATAGCAGCAGTTGGAAGATACGGAGGCAAGGAAACAGAGAAGACATAACCAGAACTACTAAGACGCTGCAAACATGTAACATGTCATCAACAATTAAGAATAGAAAACTAGGAAAAAAGAGCACTAATATCAATCAGTAAATAAACAACTACATAGACACTGAATTCTGATTAAAAAAAAAAAAAAAAATTCTTCCAAACAAGGTTCCCTTTTTCAAGTGGTGGTAATTTCATACTTGATGAGCAGTGACTCTATCGCTTCCTGCGCAGAATCCTCCTTCCGTGGCCAATGAATGTCCCATGGAAGCAGTTATGATATCTACCTTCTCAATCTACACAACCAAGTACCAACACCATCATAAAACCACAAATTGAGAATTAATGAACTGACTAAATCTAAAATATCTTCAAAACATACCGGAACCCCATTTGCTCGGTGATACGTCTTCCGGAACTGCCAAGCACACCAAAAGAGTTGCTCTTATCCAATAAGACATGGAAACGATATTTCTCCTTCAGTCGGATGATCTCATCTAATGGAGCAATTTGACCTGAATTCTGCAAATTGAAGAAATCTGTCAAAACATTAACATTTCCCAATCCTGCACGGGAAACAGAAATGCAGGGTATACATGATAATATGGTATTAGTAAATAAGCAAACTGTTAATTGTCAATACTAGTCTGATGAAAGCTACAAGATATGTTATCAACATAGTAAAATTAAAGCATAATTGCCAAAAGATACCTGGTACACAGCTTCAACCACAATATAGCGCCTTAGCTTCTTAGCTCGCTTATTTTCTACAGTAACTTTCTCCGAAGTACTTTGTAGAGACTCCATGTCATTGTGCTTGAAATACACAATTGTGCTTCTGGAAAGATAAAGGCCATTTTGTATTCCCCAGTGGACACCCTCATCCCTAAAAAATTCCCACCCCCAGCCCAAATAAATAAATCAATAAGAAAAGCTCTAAAATAGAGAGAAAAAAAATTCACCTCATATACATGGCAGATTGCAAAGCCAAACCAATGCTAATTTTAAGGGACCCAAATAAATGTGCCAATAACTACTCATATTGCCATGTATATGCATAAATGTTTCCAAAATACAAATTAATAGAGGTTCTCAAAAAACTAAACAACAAAAAGAGAAAGCAAATTGCCACAACCATTTAAACCATTGATCAGCATCTTTATTATAGCTGAATGGCTTATTATAAGCTCATGATATAAAATATCCACAGCTTAATATAAACTCAAATGATTATATTTACATCAACAGAACACAGTCAGCTAATATGCAGTCTTAGCCCTCTTCGCTCTTTTCACAATCATATTACAGCAGGTAAATTTAGTCAAGAAACGATACAAAAGCAATAACATATCATTATGTTTTCATATAACAATATTAGCACTTTCAACGACTAACTAAATAAAGCATAGTCAACCATTGAACAATACTTGTCATGCATTCTTCAATAGTAACCTTTGTAGGAAAGTCCTTGTAGCCTTAACGTTGTGTTTGGTTTGGGGATTTGGAGAGGGATTTGGAAAGAGAAAGGGAAACACAATGTAAAAGATTTATGCCATACCAAATGAAAATCAATAATTAAACAGTAAAGATAATACTCACGCAACAATAATATCCCCCGTCTTAGAAAGAGATGGAATTGCACTGAACATGGTGGAAAGTCCATAAGGATATAGTATGCAATCAAGAGTTCCCAAAAACTTAGCGATTCTGGATTCACAATCAAGGTGGACATCTATGCAAAATAACATAGTTAGAACGGTAATCATTTTCATGCACAAGACAAGGAGATAATTCAATTTAGTTAGTTATGGTTTGTAAATATAGTAGAGAAAGGTTATTGGGTTTCTAAGAAGGGCTGTATTTGCTTGATTTGCAAAGACTAGGTACTAGAATTTCTAGAGAACCATTGTTTTAAGAGGATTGGGTATTAGATTGAATGCCATGAGGTAGGATTTTGTTAGGATATTGATTGGCTAGGGTTTAGGTTTGAATAGTTTTATTTGGGGTTATAAATTGTACTATAGTAACTAGGGGTTTTCGTGGACCAGATTGATTCGGTTTTGGAGTGGACCTATGATTGAATCGGTCCGTACAGTTCCATAAATTTTGGATTAGAATCAGACCACTGAAGATGTGTATTTGAGCTGTAGAAATCGGTTTGATTCCAAGTTTCTAGGCTATTTTGTTCCATAAAATTCCAATTATCAATCAACATAAAACTGATCTATTGCAACAAATAAGGCAACAACTTAAATCTAGTTGATTTCAACAAATGGAAAGAGAAAGATTGCGACATTTGTAGCTGAAACAAAACGACCGAAAATCCACCTTTCATTCAATTTGAAGTATAATATATATAAAGCTTAGAATAGATATATATAAACTTAGAGAGAGATATATATATAAAGCTTAAAAATTACCCAAAAAAGATTTTCATAGACTAACTGTTGTTCTTCTTTTTCCGTTGTGGTCCAAATGCGAACCTTCTAGACCTGCAAATCACTGAAAATTATTAGTAGCATGCACTCAATTGCAGCCTTCGAAGGGAGGAAAAAAAGAAAAAAGAAAAAGACAATTGAAAATATAATATATAGCTCCAAAAACAGGGTACATATTAGCAACAAACTAAACCCTTAAGCGTTAAAAAAAAAAATAAATAAATAAATAAAAGAAGAAAATATAAAGCTTAAAAATTACCCCCAAAAAAGACTTTCATAGACTAACTGTTGTTCTTCTTTTTCCGTTGTGGTCCAAATTCGAACCCTATCTTTCCTATTTTGTATCATCATTGTCTTTGAGGTTTTGGGTTCGGAAACCCTTGAATTGACTAAACCATTGGGTCGGTAAAAGTGGTTTTCGTGTGTGAGTAGAAGGAGAGGAAAAAGATGAAGTGAAAAAGATAGGAAGAGATGAAACAGAGAGTAGTGGCAACAGCAACAAGTCTCATTGTTGATTCGATCGGTTGAGAGAGATTAATCACTGAAATGAATCTCTCACCCCCTCTCTGAGATGAATCGAAATCACTAAGATGAATCATTGTTGATTCGATCGATTGAGAGAGATTAGGGTTTAGAAAGAGAGTGAGTGAGCCTCAGATTCAAAACAAGGGTTTGAAAAGAGAGAGGGGGAGGCTGTAGACATTTCGAACGATGCTTCATGTTCTTCAGAATAGGATGAGGGAATATTAGATATAAAAATAAAATTTAATATATATATATATATATATAATCGCACGTTAATTAAAAGTGTGATTAAAAAATTATATATAATCACATTTAATTAAAAAGTGACTTAAAAAATAAATATAATTCTATTTAATTAAATTAGATGTGATTGAAATATTGATTTGAGTTTTTCAATCACACTTTCATTAAAAGTGTCATGTTTTAATTTCTGTAAGTGTAATCTTTAAGTATTTTTGGAGTAGTGACTTTTGCCAACTAATATAATTGTTGGTTGCTAATTCCACAACTTTTGCCGACTAAATTTTTTTTACTTGCCAAAAGTGTAATTACCTATAGTGTAGGTTACTTAGAGAGCTAATTAACTTGTGTTTTATTTTGAGAGAGAGAGGGGAAAGCAATATTGATAAAAAAAAAAAATTACAAAAAAGTTAGTAGCCTATTTTTTTTCATTTCCGCCCAATATGTCAAAATTTTTCTCCAAAATTAGTGACAAAATAATTTCCTCACTAAAAAGTCTCAAAATATTAAAAATTATTACTGACAAAAATATATTTCTCAAAAAATTCGTCACTAAAATATTTAAAATCAAGTTTTTGAAAAAAATATATATAAAAAATTATTGGTGACGAAAATATATTCTTCACTAATAATTTTATAATTAGGAACAAATTTTTTTCTCACCACAAGTCTGAAAATTTTGGCGCCATCCAAAAAAATTTCGCAAGAAAACCTCGGGTGACGAAACTTAATTTTTCCTCATCTAAAAAGAAGTATTTGTTGACGAAAATAAATATCGTCACCTATTATTTTTACTTTTTTATTATATGTGATAAAATTTTATAATTCGTCACGGATTATTCTTATTTAGTAACGAAATGTATTTTCTTCACTACTTTTCGTCACGATAGGTTACTTAGAAAGTTAATTAACTTGTGTTTTGTTTTGAGAGAGAGAGGAAAATTGATAAAAAAAAGAGAGAGAGAGAGAGAGAGAGAGGGGAAAAAAAAAGATCGTAGTCTATTTTTTTTTTATTACCGCCCAATATGTCAAAAATTTCCCTCCAAAATTAGTGATAAAACAATTGTCTCACTAAAACGTCTCAAAATATTAAAAATCATTACTGACAAAAATATATTTCTAACCAAATGGTCTTAAAATATTTAAAATCAAATTTCTCAAAAAAAAATATATATATATAAAATTATTAGTGACGAAAATATATTCTTCACTAATAATTTTATAATTAGTGACAAATTTTTTTCTCATCAAAAGTCTCAAGATTTTGGCACCACAAAAAAAAAAAATTAGCGGGAAAACCTTCAGTGACGGAACTTAATTTTTCCTCACCTAAAAAAAAGTATTTGTTGACGAAAATAAATTTTGTCCCCTATTAGTTTCATTTTTTTATTATATGTGACAAAAATTTATAATTCGTCACGAATTATTCTTATTTAGTGACAAAATTTATTTTCTTCACTACTTTTTGTCACCATAGATTACTTTTGTTGTAGTGTGCTCTTTCTGTTTTAATTTAGAATAACATGTTTATGAACATATATTCCTTGATCTAAAAGATTTTCATATGGCTCTGTAAATCCTATTCAATTTATCTTGCAGATGATGAGAAAAATTCTCATTTGAAAAAACTTGAAAAAGCATCTGACAAGCTTAAACTCTTCAAGGTGGACCTGCTGGATTACAACTCTCTTTCTGCAGCCATCACGAGGTGTGTCGGAGTGTTCCATGTCGCCAGTCCAGTTCCCCCCGGCAGCTTGCCAGATCTGGAGGCAAGAATACCTTGTGATTGAACTTGTTTATTGAAATCATTTGCATTCTTCTTGGCAATTTTATATCTATATTGACTTCTGAACCTATGTGGAGTGTTGCATATTGTCCTCATCTTGATATTAGGATGACCACGTAACACTGCTTCATAGTCCATACATTCAGCCTGCATCAGCCCATATGGCTTCAATTCTACTGTAACTTGGATTCTTATGGCAGCGAGAATTTCTGGATATTGCATCTATTTATCTAATGTGTTTAGCTATTTGATTTTGCTACTTTTTTGGACTGAGCCAACTTACGAGAATAAGAATCGTGAAAATATGATACCGGTCCGACCATGCTTGTGTTTTGTTCAATTCTTAATTCATCTCAACAAAACTTTTGCCCCAATTAATTGGGGTTGCCTACATGGGTTCATTTTTTGAGCAAGTTATCCTATGGTGACTTTTGGGTACCAAATTTTGAATACCACTTGTTGTGTCACCAACCCATTGGTTTAATGAGTCCCACCATTCATTGGTGACATAGTAGATAGATAATATCCAAATTGTTACCTGAACTTGGTCTCCGTCTTTTCTTTCTCTTCATCTTATGTATCTTGTTCTCCATCCGTACAACTCAAGATAGAGAGCATTGTAAGCCTTCAATTTAATTTTAACCTCCTTAACTGCTTTAGATTTTCCTTTACCCATTTGTTTCTTGTAAAAAAAAAAATTATTCATTCTCTTTCCAATCATTGTTATTGTTCCTATGTTCCAAGTTCCTAATTGTATTTTACACTCTTGGACTAGTTTCTTTATGTGCACTTGTCTATTAAAGTGTTAGCACCTTTCCCTGCTTCTCACCATTTGGGGATCAATGTGGCATGTCACTTGGGGGAGTTGCTGGCATTTTAGTTGCATCTATGATAGTAAAGTTAATCCACAGGTAAAGAAGTGCATCACAGGATTGAAATGTGATGACATGTGTAATCATTGAATGTTTATCTTCAATGGGACTTTAATGTGTTACGAGTTTGGTGAGTTATTTTACTTCCATAGTATCTAATAGCTTTAGTGCAGGTGCAACTAATTGAGCCTACTGTGAAGGGTACTCTTAATGTACTCAAGGCATGTTCTGAAGCAAATGTCAAACGAGTGGTGGTTGTATCTTCTGGAGCTGCTGTTTCCGTGAACCCTAAATGGCCCAAGGGTCAAGTGAAGGACGAGACTTGTTGGTCTGATGCGGAATACTGCAGAAGAACTAATGTAATCAATTAAACAAGCCAACTTTAAACTTGTAATGATTATGTTGCGATTGTAGTGCATTTCTGCTTGATATTATTCAAAGCTTTTTAAAATTGTAGGTTCCATGCTAATGTTTTCTATATTTATATTGATTTTCTGGTTCTTTGTCCTAGAATTGGTATTGTCTTTCCAAAACAAAAGCAGAAAGTGAGGCTTTTGAGTATGCGAAAAGAAGTGGGCTTGATGTTGTAAGAGTGTGTCCAACCCATGTTTTGGGACCAATGCTCCAGTCCACAGCAAATGCTAGTAGTTTGGTTCTCATTAAGCTTTCAAAAGGTACCTAATTGAATAAAACCTATATCATTTTATTTTCTCAGGAAGAAGTAGCATTTTTTATCCATGTAAATCTTGTTTTCTTTTATTCTAAATGGTGTGCTCATATGTGTTCCTATGCATGTTTATATGCTGCGGTGGAATGTTAAATTTTGAACTTTAATGCTTGAGAAGTTACTTTTTGTATTACATTCCATATGGGAAGCATTTTTGCTCTGCTTTATCCTTCTTGTTATGCTTTAAGCCTACAATCTAGGACTCCAATTTGTATTAAAAGGATAAATGTATATATATATATATATATATAATGCCCGAGTTTTGGTGATGTTAAGCCTTGAGAAATGGTGATGCTTGTTTTTCCAATCATTCTCATTATGATTGAACTTCTAGAAGGTGAGGCCAATTGAGCTCCAAAGTTTAGTGTTGCAATGCTTTGATTGAACCCTTTCAAAAGCACTGAAGTCACCCTATAGAATTTAATTATGCTTTCCTATTAAAGTCATTACATAAGGATGAAATGGCCATATATGGAAGTATATGTGATGTAGGACGAGTATGGATTACTTTCCTACAAGTAGTGAGTCCGGGTTAAGTATACTGGTAGCCGCAACAAATAGACTTATAGTTCTAGATTTGGTAGGAGTTTGTGGCTGCAAAAGTATTTAATAAAATAGGAGTTTAAGGGTTTGTAAAAATATAGGGTTTTGTGAATGAAAATGCAAGTGTTTAGGGATTGTTGGGTGGCTGTTCTAAGTACTCTGAACAGTGATGTGAACAGTAATCTTGTTGGATAGAAGGGAGGAGAAAGAGAGAGAGAGGTGCTTCACTCTCACAAGGGATAGGCCAATCACACAATCACAATCTCAAATTTTCATAATATTAACTCTTTTTCTTCAATCATTAAGATTACACATATATTTATAGGCTAAAAACTCTCCTAATTCTATAAGGACTATAACTCAAATTTAGAAATCAAAAATATTTAGCAACTACTAATATTCTAGACCAACTGTGACTTCCAATTCTACTTCAATCATAATAGGAAACTTTAATGATTTTTAATTTTACTTCAATATCAAAATAGAAAACTTGGACTTTTGACCATTAGAATTATTTTAGACATAATAAAACTAGGGGTGAGCAGCGGATATACTGATCCATCCAAACCGACCGAAACTGAACCGAATAAATCCGCCGCATTTTGAACGGATGCGTGATGACGAGCGGATAGTTGCGGATTGATTTTTTCAATCCGCCTAATTTTGGACAGATGACGGATTTGAGGTTCCGTTGGCCGCAACCGAACCGCCTAACCACCAGCACCTCTACTAATTTATAAGACTCTGTTTCAATTTGTTTAAATATTTTGTTTATGTTTTCAATTGAAAAAGAGTTTAAATATTCTGTTGAATATAGTCTGCTGAAAAAGAGCTTTCAACTTGAATATATTTTTTGAATTGAAAAAAATAAATGTACTATTTATCTATATTTTTTGGTTTTTAAATCTAAATTTGAAAGTAATAAATAAAAAAGATGATATATACTAGTTGATTTTTATTTTTAAAAATAGATATAGATGTAACAATACAGAGACATAAAATCTCTACCATTACTCTATTCATGGTTTTGGTGGTTTGAATTATTTTTATATTTTAGGAATCACAGATTGTAATACTTTATGTGGATGAGGCATGTTGTGATTGTAATATGTGGATGAGGTATGCAGTGATTTTAATACTTTTTTAAGTCATTGACGTAATATTTCTTTTTTTTTTAGGAAGTGCACAAGTTGAATTATGTTGAAAATTTATAAAATTTTAAACCGCCAAATCGATTCGCATCTATCTGCCAATCCGCTCAATCCACATCTGCCGGATTAGCGGACCGATGCGGATTGATTTTCTCCAATCCACCAATCTGATGGACAGATGATGAATTAGAAGTTCTATGGCCGCAGCCGACCCGTGCCCATCCCTAAATAAAACCCATATATAATAACCCATTTAATAACTTGATCCAAAATACAATCTATGGGCGACCCCTACAACCTATGCCCAACAATTATTAGAATTATTATTATACCCTTAATTACTAAAACTTACTATAATGACATGAAGATTTGAAATTATTCCAAATATTTAATTTTTGATGCCCTAAATGTGCTTCATGTGAAATTCCAGATTTGCTTTACTTTTTTTTTCTCCATGATTCTCATCATTCTACCTTGCATTCGAAAAAACTCGACCTCGAGTTTTATAATGTTGAAGTATGAGGATTATGAAATCTTGCACTTGCAAACATTTAAATTGATTGTTTTGAATGAACGATGAGAAAATCAAAAAATTCAATGTTGTCATCACTCCATTGACCACATCAAATTTATTAGGAATAACAAACAAACTAGATCTCTACATATCAAAAAAAAAAAAAAAAAAGAAAAAAAAACTGACTACAAGAAAAAAGGGTTTTTACGACGCGCAATGCATGCCGTAAAAACCCTTTTACGACGTGCAACAGCACGTCATATTATGACCAGTCATGGAAAGTTGTTCACTTTCAATGACATGCTTCGCACGCCGTTAAAAACTATTTAACGATAGATTTTGTGCATC